CAGGAAGGCACCGCTCCTGACCCTCTTGCTGCCACAGCTCCCACAGACTTGTGGCATCCACTTCACCCTCTCTGTTATATCCAGATGAGAAGGGGGCTGTGGAGAGTGAATCCAGTGCTCCACCAGTGGCTGGTCTACTGCACGAAGTCTGGACAGCACTTTTCAGGCAGGGAGATCCTCGACCCCTTGCTGCCCTGGCTACGCCAAGAGCTGGCAGTCATCTTTGGGACAGTGTAGTGGCTGGAAATGGCAGCCAAAAACCTCATCCGGCAAGCCCTATGCGTCTTTGGGATGGACAATGAAGTCCTGATCCAGCAGCTGCAACCTGGCCTGAAGGACAGCATGGTGATGTTGATTCAGGGTGCCATCAACAATAATTGTGCAGCACTGTGGCAAGCAGGCCTGGAGGTTGCTGGGCCTCTGAGATGCCTATGCTACCAGGGGACAGAAGGACAACCCCACAGCCATCCTTGGCACTAACACCTCCTCTCAGATGACTCTCAGCTCCAGTCCTGGACCCTCCAGCAGCACTACAGGTCCCAGCACAGAGGAGCTCCCCAGCACATCAGGAACCATATTTCATGGGGGGCACAGCCAGCACTCCACTGTGCCCATGCTGAGGGGGCAAGAGGAGCCCCATGAGGAGCCAGGGAAGGCTGTGACTGTGGAGGCAACAGGACACTTTGCCAGGGCAGGAGGGGGCAAGAGATACCCCTTGAGGAGCCAGAGCAGGTGGCAGCAACAGGACCCTCACTAGTATAATGTGTTTACTTGGCAAGGTTTATGTAGCAGGGGGCTTGTGGTGGTTTTACTCAGGTGGGCAGTCAAGTTCCACCATGGAGAAGGGGGAGAAAATATGACACAAAGGGCTCAAGGGTTGAGATAAGAACAGGGAGATCACTCAACAATTATTGTAATGGGCAAAACAGACTCAGTAAGGATATAGTAGTATTTATTGCCTATTGCTAACGAGATAGAGAACTGAGAAACAAAACAAAACAAAACAACAACAAAAAAAAAACACCTTCCCTCCATCCACCTGCTATCACCTCCTTTCCCCCAAGGAGTGCAGAGGAATGGGGGCTGCAGTCAGTCTACAGCACTTTGCCGCTCCTTCATGGTTACTCTCCGCCCCTGCTCCACATAGGGTTCCTTCCATGGTCTGCCCACAGGCTGCAGCTCTTCAAGAACTGCTCCAGATATGGGTTCCATCCGTCAGGAGCAAACTGCTCCAACCTGGGTCCCCCATGGGCAGCAGCTCCCACCAGGTCACCTGCTCCTGCTTGGGCTCCTCTCTACAGGCTGCAGCATGAAATCCTGCTCAGCTGTGGTATTCCATGGCCTGCAGGGGGACAACTTTCTTCACCATGGTCCTCACCACAGGCTGCAGGGGACTTCTGCCCCCGTGCCTGGAGCACCTCTCCCCCTCCTTCTTTGATGACCTTGGTGCCTGCAAGGTGTTTTTTGTTTGTTTGTTTGTTTGTTTGTTTTTTTATTTCTTAAATATGCTCTCACAGAAGCATCAAGGATGGCAACCTATAGGAGGGACCCCACGGCACAGGGACGAGAGTGACTGAGAAGGAGTGGTGGAGATGAAGCTCTATAGACTGACCACAGCTCCCATTCCCTGTTCCCCTGCACCACTCAGGTAGAGGAGGTGGAAGAGGGCGGATGGGTGGGAAGGTGTTTTTGTTTGTTTGTTTGTTTTTTCCTTCTTTGTTTTTCAGTTCTCTAGCTTGTTAGTAATAGGCAATAAATATTACTATCTCTGAGTCTGCTTTGCCCATCGTGATAATTGTTGAGAGATCTCCCCATCCTTATCTCAACCCTTGAGACCTTTGCATAGTATTTACTCCCCATTTCCCTTTGAGGAGGGGGAATGAGAGAGCAGCAGTGGTGGAGCTCAGTTGCCCACCTGAGAAAAAAACACCAAAGCTGAGGCAGGGACCACTCACCCAGGGTCCCTGGCGACCCCCAAAAAGGAAGGTCCAACAGTGCTCAGGCCTCCCCATGCCCTGCAAGAAGCTTCCTCCTTGGTGTAACTAGCAGGTCTTATGTTTCTCTTTAATAAATAAATAAATAAATATTATTCTGCAATGTCTCAGTCTTATTCCAAACAGAGCTGGCGTTGCCATGAGTGTGGTGCCGTTCCCCCCTTTTTTCCTGCTGCCTTTCCCCCTGTACTGCAGGGCCCCACCACTGGTGGCACCAGCCTGCTGGGGAGCACCACCACCAAAATATTACCAACCTATCACCACCAAAGTACCATGTTTATACAACTTATTTTGTTTCTAAAGATCTCAGAGCACTTTGACGGTATGAGTCTGAGGAGAGCTGCTGAATATGTTAATGATGAACTCTGTACAAGAATAACAAAAAGACTTTAGAGGTACTCTCAAATATGCCCATTCTAGCGACTGCTGTCATGAAAGTTTAAACAGGTAGCAGAATAGACCACACACTGAGTTTGAAGACTTTATTTGAAAAACACAAGAAACACATGGGGATATCAATTCATCCTGAAAGAGGTGGGCCAAGTGGAAAGAGAACTGTGTACTCTGCATGAGAGTCATGACAACCGTCAAAGTTTCTGCTTGGTCAGAGGATGACAATCTGGAGTTCATTTTCTGTTCCCAGGAACACACTGGCTGAGCAGGCAATGGTACTAGAAAGCTCTGGCATACAGTTGGTTTACACCACATAACACATTACAGCGTGTGAATAATGAAAGACATGCAAACCAGTGAACTTTATTGATGGTCAGTTGATACCATGACTTTGCAACACAGCATTCACAGAATCACAGAATCACAGAATTTCTAGGTTGGAAGAGACCTCAAGATCATCGAGTCCAACCTCTAACCTAACACTAACAGTCCCCACTAAACCATATCCCTAAGCTCTACATCTAAACATCTTTTGAAGACTTCCAGGGATGGTGACTCCACCACCTCCCTGGGCAGCCCGTTCCAGTGCCTAACAACCCTTTCAGTAAAGAAGTTCTTCCTAACATCTAACCTAAAACTCCCCTGGTGCAACTTTAGCCCATTCCTCCTCGTCCTGTCACTAGGCACGTGGGAGAACAGGCCAACTGCCACCTCACTACAGCCTCCTTTGAGGTATCTGTAGAGAGCGATAAGGTCGCCCCTGAGCCTCCTCTTCTCCAGGCTGAACAAGCCCAGCTCCTTCAGCTGCTCCTCATACGACTTGTTCTCCAGGCCCCTCACCAGCTTCGTCGCCCTTCTTTGGACCCGCTCAAGCACCTCGATGTCCTTCTTGTAGCGAGGGGCCCAAAACTGAACACAGTACTCGAGGTGCGGCCTCACCAGAGCTGAGTACAGGGGGACGATCACCTCCCTAGCCCTTCTGGTCACACTGTTTCTGATACAAGCCAGGATGCCGTTGGCCTTCTTGGCCACCTGAGCACACTGCTGGCTCATATTCAGCCGACTGTCCACCATCACTCCCAGGTCCTTCTCTGCCTGGCAGCTCTCCAACCATTCCTCTCCCAGCCTGTAGCTCTGCTTGGGATTATTGTGCCCCAGGTGCAGGACCCGGCACTTGGCCTTGTTAAATTTCATGCAGTTGACCTCAGCCCATCGGTGCAGCCTATCCAGATCCTCCTGCAGAGCCTTCCTACCCTCGAGCAGATCGACACACGCACCTAACATGGTGTCATCTGCAAACTTACTGAGGGTGCACTCAATGCCCTCGTCCAGATCATTGATGAAGATGTTAAAGAGGACTGGACCCAGCACCGAGCCCTGGGGGACGCCACTAGTGACTGGCCTCCAACTGGACTTGACTCCATTTACCACAACTCTTTGGGCCCGGCTATCCAGCCAGTTTCTAACCCAACGAAGCGTGCGCCAGTCCAAGCCAAGAGCAGCCAGTTTCTTGAGGAGAATGCTGTGGGAGACGGTGTCAAAAGCCTTGCTGAAGTCAAGGTAGACCACATCCACAGCCTTTCCCTCATCCACCCAGCGTGTCACTTTGTCATAGAAGGAGATCAGGTTCGTCAAGCAGGATCTGCCTTCCATAAACCCATGCTGACTGGGCCTGATCGCCTGCTTGCCCTTCAAGTGCCGCATGATGACTCCCAAGAGGATCTGCTCCATGAGCTTCCCTGGTACTGAGGTCAAACTGACAGGCCTGTAGTTCCCGGGTCAGCCCTCCGGCCCTTCTTGTAGATGGGCGTCACATTTACTAGCCGCCAGTCAGCTGGGACCTCCCCTGATAGCCAGGACTGCTGATAAATGATGGATAGGGGCTTGGCCAGCTCCTCTGCCAGTTCTCTCAGTACCTTTGGGTGGATCCCATCCGGCCCCATCGACTTGTGCACATCCAAGTGCCGTAGCAGGTCACCAACCAGTTCTTCGTGGATGGTGAGGGCCACATCCTGCTCCCCATCTCCTTCCATCAGTAACTCAGTAAATTCTAACAAATTCATCACACATATGAGTGGATATTAATCTGCTCTTAATGTTGCTATAGTATTTAAATAACTAGGAAATGAAACAAGTAATCCATCTGTTCTGTTTCTGCAAAAATAAATACACTAATAATTGTTTAACAAAATCAAGGGACATAAAGATACAATTCCTAATTATAGAAATGAAAGTGAGTTCCAGCAACAGACTTGAATAGGGAAAGTACTTGAAGTCAATATTTAATACCTACTGGAAAATTAAACATATGGGACAGGGCTTGTCTTTCACCTAAAAATTAAAAGAATATAATTAGATTTTATGTTTTGAAAACTGTAGGGATAATCGAAAACACAAGTCAATTCCATAAAGGCAAGTAGGTTGCTTTTGTTCACAACAGCTGCATTTCCTTTACATTCTGCTATATTTAATACTAATAACATTTATAAACTGTGTTCTTGAATAGACAAACCATGATCCAGGAAAATAAATTTTTCATTCATAAAACAAGGAATATTTTATTCAACTAATTCTTATGGATTACAAATCAGAAGCTGCCAAACAATTTCAGTTCTCACTAAAAGCACTCCACAAAATTTCAGGCTAATATGATACCACTTCTTTCCCCAAAAATATATTTGGGCTCTGAATAAATTTAAAAATATCTCAGACATATATGCATTTGCTCTCATGAAAAAGAAAAAAAAAATGCAATAAATATTAATGCAATAAACTTGAACAAGTTGCACTGAAAATGTCACAATTTTTATTAAATGAAATGGAATTGCTTCTAAACATAAATGAGTAGAAATAAAATTAAAATACAGATGTCTTTGGGTCTCATTTGTAAGTATTTTTTATATCTAGTCACTGTGAAGTATGATATAAAATACAAATCAATACAGACCCCAAAACCTACAAGTAGAGAAAGGAAGGAAGGTGAATAAAGGGCCAGCTTTCACCAGGAGGTTGAACTGCAAGATGCCCAGGGCTCTTTTACAGGCTGAAGTTTTCTATTTTACTGTAGTTCCAAGAAGTCCTTAAACTGATACATATTTCTGAAATTAAACGAGACAAAACTTCTTTTGCAGATTTTAGAATCTCTCTTCTAGAAGATGATGAATGCTGTTATCAGAAGTTTGTAGTTCTTAAATGATGATAGATTTCATTATACCTTCTTGTGTGATTGACATTACATGTTATTATTTCTCTCCTCTCCTGACAGGTCTTTACTATGGGCCAGAAAGTGACCCAGCATCTCTGAAGAATATATATATGTACATATTTAAATTTATGATTTACTTAAATCAGTAAGGTGCAAATAAAAGGTCAGCAAGACTTTTAAAGACTTTAAAAAAAAAAAAAATGTTCCTAATTTATGAAGTACTTAAATGAAATGTAATTATATTTCAATTATTTTCCCAATGATGTGTTTGCTTCTGTTTAAGAAACAACATAATCTTTTGGCATTACAATGCTTTTTCATTAATATGTATGTGTTTCTGAGATATAAAAAGCCACAAAAATGATCATTGCCTTATGAGTAATTTTATTTTATCTGATAACAAAATTTATGACTTGCTGCAGAAATTATGAACACAAATATTTTTCTATATTTGTCATCCCAAAAGATGATGCTAGATGACCATAAAAATGAAACACAATTAAGACTTAAGGACTGTACTGTTGTCAAACGAATTGAAACAGTAAAAGTGCTTAAGCCTTTTTTTTCCACTTGGCATACCACTTTCAACACATAACTTTGAAGTTTAAAATCTCTTTTTTTCTTGAAAAGATATAAAGATATATGATTTTTACTCTTTATTCTGTTCTCACAAAGACTTCCTAATGATCATAGCTTGCCTTCTGCAGAAGACATAGTGTATATCAGTCCTCTCCTAACAAAATCTTTGGGCCAGTTTCAGCCGCATTAGAAAAAAAAAAATAATCACAGAAACGTGGAAATCACAAAGATGTTAAGTAAAATGACTAAAAAAATAAATGAATGAAAATAAATAACTAAATAAAATAAAATGAAAATTAATAAATAAATTAGTCTATTCAGTGATTAGAATGACTGAAATTAAAATTTAAAGTTAAAGCTATTCAGTATCAGGGTAGAGGAAAGTTACCCAAATCACTGCATCTACCAAAGGACGGGGAAATTGAGGCAGAACTCACCCATTCTGTGCTATGTTTAGCAGCACATGACTCCACCTTGATGACTCCACCTTGCCATGCAAACACTCCCCAGAGTCCTAGAGCTCTCCATTCCTATTTTCAGTGGGCAGCAGGGAAAATTTCAAGACCAAACTCATCCTCAGGTTCACCAGTCACCTCCACCACTGCCGAGGACTGAGGTCTCACACAAACCAACCTGTGATATGCTATAAGTCCTCATGACTTTCTTATGTTCATACTTTTCTGAAGCCTTATGTGAAGGCAGAGAAGTCCTGGAAAAAATTTCCATGCCAAAGTATTTTAGAGATGAAGGATTTCACAACTTTATGCTTAAGGTGGAATATACGTCAGAATTATCATACTTTAGAGAAAACCAAAGCTATTAAATAAAATTTGATGAACTGATAGAAAGGACTTTGGGGTTGCTCCAATTCTTCCAGGGCATACTTCAAGACAAGTATTGTTCTCTGTACCTTTCCACTCCAGTCCTTGTGTTCATGCTGTGCCTGAGAACACTTCGGGAACAGACAATTTCTAACATTTAGAAGAACACAAATAAGGGTACAGATTATCCAACCATGGGATTTTCCTGAAAGACCAGTTGTGAGGCACTATCTGACTAACATCCTAGGACAAATCAGCCTTCATTTATGTGTTTTGAGGCTATTCTTATTTCTCTATGTATCTCATTAGGAATGGTATTTTTAACTACTGCTGTTAAAAGTTGACCAATTTGCAGGCTGTCACATTCAGTCTTAACAAGGAATAGTATTTTACTTGGTGCCTTTGAAATCATTAGTGAATTCAGATGTTCTGTCAGTATGGATGTGGAGGTCAGCCTAGATACTCCTCCCCTTCCAATTCACAAATTCTGTGGATATCGCACGTGTGAGTCAATATCAAATTTCTCATCACCATGGAGAGAAAGTATGGGACAAAATGGGATAAGCTGAAGAGCATAATTAATGAAAACATCTCCATTACTTTTTCAGCACAGAATCCTGTAATAATCCTGTATGCTGCTGGTTTAATGTCTTCTGCTTCTTGAGACGAGGCTAGAAAGTGTTTAAGTAAAAGTAAATGCTAAATACATTGGTCCTGAACATCTGCCACTAAGCAATCTATCTAGTGTATCCCAGGTCAGTAAAATTAGAGTTTTAGAGCTCTGATTACTTTTTCATTATTCTGGTGTTTAAAACAGGTGTTATCAAGAAGAAAAAATATGCACAGCCAAATCTAATTGGTTTGGTCAAGCTTACCTAGAAACAAGCACATGTTAAAACTCCTAAATCCTGTATCGCATAAAGTAACTGATTTGTGCTCAAAGAGTGTGAGTGTAAATTTAGGAGCCACAGACAAGGAAAGAAAAGACACAAGCATGTCATGGACTGCCCTGACTTTTGCTCAGAATCCCAGATTTCAAGGGCAAGGTTTAAGAAAGTGAAGAAATCAACTGCAGAAAATAACTAACTAACTAAATAAATAAACAAAATAAAGGGGTCAGGCTCTGTTTTCAGCACTGACTTCTGAGTAACTGCTCCCTGACATCACAACATAATAAAATCAGATCAATATCAGTAATAAGCAAGCCTCTCCTTGAGAAAGATTAAAATCTTCTTTCAAGATGTCTTTTATGAAGGTGAAATCTATGGCATTGACAAGAATAGTTCCCCCTTCCCTGAAGCTAATAGCCAAGTTGAATGGAAATCAAAACTGGAAACCTTCACTAAGTTGGTTCAGGAGAGGCCAAACTCAAGTACATTTTAAAGACACGGAGTTCTTCTAGCAATAAAGAACAGCATGGAAACTGCAAGATCCTGAGTTTGATATCCCTTGTACTCATGTAAATTCAAAGCACATCTTTTGCAGTGATTAGAGGAGATCTTTATTTACAAGAAGTACCCATCATTTAGGACAACTGTGAGAGCCTGAGATTAAGAGAAACAATCTACCAAGAAAGGCAACAAATAGAAAACTCTATGAGGAGAGAGGTCACGGTGCCCTATTCTTTCCATAGAAGAATGTCTCCATGGAGACAGACACATTCAGATTAGAAGCAAGACAACTTTTAACAGCAAGAGTAATTAACTGTTGCAACATAATTAAAGGATGTAGCTGATTAATCATCTCCTGGAGGCCCTACATTTAGACCAAATGTCTTTCAATAAGATATACACTGGTTTAGTCACAAGTTCTTGGGTCTGAAAACATTTGCATTACAGGATAGAATAATTTCTTCCCATGCTTGTTTTACTGGACAAAATTCTGTGACCTATGTTATGTAGAAGGTCCCTGTATTTGAGCTGAAAAATTTCCTGTGATATTTAAATCAATGCAAAAATTCACAACACAGAACCCTCCTTAGGGCAAACAGGTAATGCAGCCTCATGTACTCAGCAATACACAGAAAACAAGCCTTAGCATATTCTCTACATTGATTGTATGAGCACAGCTCTTGGCTGGGATGAAAAAATGGCCTTATTCTTCCATTCACACAGGTAATCAATAACCTAGGAAATATAAATGCTGTCCTCACATCCATATAACTGGACAGTAGAACAGATGAAGGAGAGGAAAAGGAGACAGAACCTACATAATTACTCTGTCTTCATTTCCTATTCCTTACATACATTTACTCTCTTTTGTAGATTTGCATTTGAGTAGAATAAATAGCTCCATGTAGTTTCTTTGAGATTTGAGACAGACACGTAATTTTTTACACAATGAGTATGTGGATGTTTATTTATGGATATAAATATGTGAATGTCAGACCAATAAGTATGTGTCCCACTTCTTATACAAGTCAGTTACTTCACAGCTATCAGATTATTTAAATCTGCTCATCATAGGTAAATACAAACAATTTTTATTTTTTTTTTCTGTGAATAGCAGTTATTCAAGCTAGAATCCATTTTAGTTCTCCTGACACACTGAAATATTGCTTGCTGTCTGACTGCATTTGTCAGGGGAAAAAAAAAAATCAAATCACCAGCACTGAATCATTTCAACATACACGAAGGTGGCAGAAATCTTCAGTACAACTCCTGGTACAACCACTTAATGATAACATTGTTTTTCTGCTAAGAATACAGACCTCGACTGATCACACAGTCATTCTACACAGATAGAGAGTTAGATTACACATGCACATGAATGGGCAGACACTCGCACAATACAGACTTCCAAATGGACATGCATTAGTCCTGATATGAAATTCTTTCATGTTGCAGCAATGCCCATAAAAGCTCTGTTGGTTTTTTTTTGTTTGTTTGTTTGTTTTTCCTGAGTGTGTCAGGATGGAACAATCCCACTCTGCACCATTTTGATTATGGTGTCTGTAAACACACTACAGAAGTCAGATTATGGTAACACAAATCTAGTTAAAATTAATGGTTAGAAGTAGAGGTATTTGCACTCTTTAACTATTTCCAGCATTACAGAATAAAATCAAAGGTTAATTTAAAAAAAAATAAAAAAGTTAGCAACATATCAGCAAAAAGTATCCTCCCACAGCCAATCTGTCTACCTCACATCTTGAATTTTGTTTTAGCTTTTAAAACTATTGTTTGATACCTTGGAAAGATACCACAGGCCCACAGATTTTATCACTGTCTATAGTCACATTCTCAGATCTAAAGCAATGTGTTCTCTTTCTTGAAAAGAAACAGGGAACATCGACTTAATTTTCTTCCATCTACATCAGGTTTCCCAGAGTACCTTTTGAGGAGAGCTTTCTAGACCTGCTGCAGAACATTTGTACTCTGCACCAATACGTTCAGACACAGCTCAGTGGGAAACAGGAGACTTGCATCCTACCCATCTTCGGCACTGTTCAGAAAGGCATGGTCATTCTCATCTCACAATGTCACCAGTGAGATCAGGACTCCACCTGCTTCTGGTTTCTGTTGGTCATAGCTACATCCCACTGCCTGAAACAAGGGTTGATCCAGACTTAGCTTGGGATTCAGAAGTCCTGCTTCACCAATACGATTTAGAAATATACACTGACCACTGTCCCCTCTTGCAATAAGGAGGATCACAGTCTCTGTCTCACATGGCTGCTGAGAGAGTATTATATCTGAAATATTACATTAAGAGAAGAGAGAGATAAGAGTAAGATGGGACAAAATTCACTGTGGTCTGTCTCCTTGTTTTTCACCCAAACCATAATTAATCCAGAGAACAGAATGGTAGTAATTGGAAGCAGCTTCTGGAGGTCACCTGGTCTAATCCCTGCTTCAAAGAAGGGCAACTTATAACAGGTTGCTCAGGGTCTTGTCCAGTCAAGTTTTGAACTAGACTTCTGTAGTGCAAGGAAGAGCACAGCCAGAGCCCCATAATCAACATTCTGCTATGATTATTATGCCAAATAGACAGTATAAAATACTGAAGAAGATCTGCCCTGCATAAAGGTGAAGATGCCTGATTTAGCTAGATTGAATCTCTTCCCTCGCTTAAGTCACAACTTAAGCCAAATTAAGCTTTTACCTGGGGTTGCTCACTTGAACAGGGTCAATCCTTTCTCATGTGATTTTGGCATAATAATGCCCATATGAGAAGTGAGTTTCCATTTCCCTCTGTGCCTGAAGTGAAGCAGAGAGTTCAGATCTCAAAACAGTGGCAACTATAAGACATGGTGGTAAAGGTCTCCTTCAGTCACTCCAATCAAAGATTTTCCTTTTGTATAAATTTCTCAAACATACAGTCAGTCCAGGCAAGAACAGGAATGTAGCTTTGAGGAAAGCACTCACCTTGGACAATGAAATTCCAGTTTCTGAAGCAATCATTACTGTGGATTTTATAAAGTGATGATAACAAAACATCCAGTCTCTGACCTAACATTTAGCAATACACTGAGAAATATGTCAGGTGTGGGGGTTTGGGTTGGTTGGTTTCTTGTGTGGTCAGTCCCAAATTATAATCTATTCCTACACTGAGACAATTTTATTGATTATTTTATTTTTTCCCTAATTTGTTATTAGCATACTAGGCAGCCAAAAATACATGTTAAGTGATTCCCTTAGAAGTTGCAGATTTTCTCTATGTACAAAACTGCATTCCATTCAATTCTTCCTTTCTTTTTATTGCATAGTGAAATCAAGAAGAAAAAGGGACAGGAGAATGTAGCCACACGAATTCTATTTTATTGAACAACAGGCCATTTTTTCTTGCTCTCTTATCTGTCTTGAACACTGCATAACAATTGGTTTATTTGAATGATGACATAGATTTTAACATCAAGCTGTATACTCTCTGTTCCATTCATCAGGGCATAGTGCATCCAGTTTATAAATTGCTGTTTTTCCCCTATTTTCAGCCATGTAGCTCAGCTCATTTCCAAGTTCATTAATGCCAATATTTTTTTTCTGTGGAGTGAAATTAAACTAGCCAGAAAATTCATTATGTCTTACTGTCTTCATCAAGATTAAATACACCAATGTTCCTATAATCATTTTCTTCTCCTAGCTGTTATTTTCAAAGATGATAGGCATATGCTTTCAGATGTGCTTCAACTCATTTGTTTCTTCTAAAATGCATACACACATACTGCTAAAGATCACTCATGCACTACTAGTGTAAACTCACTAAATGACCTCCCAAGGTGACTCCAGCAGCCCACAGTGACATGTGAACAATCTTTCATAAACTTATTAAATTTGATCTCAAATCCAGCTCACTCCACACACAAAGTTTATAGATTGTAAAACTGTTCTAGAGACGCACTACCCTGAGAGCTGGAAATCCTTCTAATACTCAGTGTACACTTATTTATTAACATTTTTTCTTTTAGTCATCATTATTATCTAGTGTGTTGTATTTAAAAACAGCAATATTATTCAGGCTTATTTTTGCTCCACTAAATAAAGCCAATTCTTTTAGGCTCTTGTTTCATGATAGGCTTCAGGTTACACTAATAACCCTTCACCACAGCTGTTCCTTATTTGATTTTCTCTTCCCCAAACAATGACTACCAGTGTGAATAATAAGAATGTGATTTACAAGATCCTTTACAGCAGGACTAACAGTCTTTTATTTTTCCTGGAAATACCTGTCCAAGATCACATTTGCCCTTTCCACATCTCTGTCAGAATTTCTTACTGACTTATAGAAGAAGCCTTGAATGACTGTGATACAAGGTTGGATTATTCTGTTAAATACCTAAAGACAGGGAAAATTTTAAGTACAAATTCTTTTACTCTAGTCTTCAAAAAACATCTAATTATTCCTGTACAATTACTCTTTTTCCCCTTTCTATTGGTTAATAATTTTAATAATTTTCTATTATTAGAAACCCATATAGATTAAACTTATTGCACTTACACCAGTTACAAAAGCACTACATAAAAGCAGTACCAGTGTTGATCACTGAAGACTTTTGTGAAGAATCTTATGCAGTCTTACACCTTCTTTTTTCATGCCA